ACCGCCCATTTCGGGGATAGGGGCCCGTACGTGCATGTAGATTAAGTCCCCAAAGTTTCAGCCCCGCAGCTCTTGCCGGTCTCGAGATGAAAAAATCGGTACGGAGGCCCAGCGCACACACAGACACACACACACACACACACACACAAACACACGCAAACACACACAGACAACCTCTCATCAATATGCGTTTTTCGCATTGCATTGCTGCAAAAAACGTATAATTAGACCAGTGGTTCAGCAGCACAAAACGATCACTGAAGTGGCGCACTAGACGAAGATTTATTCTTTAAAACAAACACTAAAGGCGCAAGTCATCGAGAAGCTGTGGAGACCTACAGGAGCGTATCGCGGCACCAAGAGTTGGTATTGGAAGCGGCATAGTGCCTTGGAGGAGGAATTAAGGAAGAATCCAAGGAAGCTACCCCTGAGAATGCCTACGCATCCTAACAATCAAAGAGAGCTACTGCGCCGTCGATGAGGTCGTCGGAGAGTGATGCGAAGACAAATAAGTTATTCCTCATCCGTTTACTATTCGTTCTTTTGAACTTCCCCAGAAAGAAGTGGTGCAGAATTCTTTGTTCGTATAAGTTTTTAATTTTTCTACGACCTTTTTTGTTGTACATTTATTCAAATGATTACAATTTCCGGGAAAAAAGTGAAGTTGCAAAATCCCTGTTATGAAGTTATTTTCGATTTTTGGTATTCAATAAAATTTATAGCAGCTCTACTTATGAAAGTGCATTAAAAAAAAGTTGCAATTCAAAAACTGTCACTTCTGGTGATCCAGTGGCGAATGATGACTAACCAGAGACAGGCCGTTTACAGTCAAACTTTTTCGAGCATTTATTTATAGAGTTTTTATATTTTTCAATTTAGCTCAATGATTTTGTCGGGACCCAAAAAAAAACTGACAAAATGATTACAGCTGTTCTCACACAGTGGTTAAATCATTCAGCTAATGCTCTTGAAAACATTTTTATTTTATGCAGCAGCCGCATGAAAACTAAAAATCCATCATATATGTGTGCTAAAATAAGCTTGTTTACTACAACAAATGAATAAAGAAAAATAATTACGCTGTACTCTCACTTCAGAGCATAGGTATCGTTCTAGAGTCTTCTGTATTTTTGCAAAAAAGGTTTTCGCGAGATAATATCCGTACATTTGAATGTATATATTTATGCATACATGCACGCGATGATTAAACTCCGAAATCTTAGAAACGAAGAATTTCGGGAATACAGTCCCTGTGTGCTTAAAAGACCAAAGATTCGCAACTGTATTTTGCATTTCGTGGACTAATCTAGATCTTTGATTCTTTGCCCGGCCTTGTAAATTTCGAGCGATACAATCTATAAAGTTGAAATTTTGCGCTTTTGACGTGTTCGGTTACAGTGAGGTAAAACCAATTTCTGCACTAAAACATGCAGAAATTGGTTTTACATCACTATAGCCAAACACCAATTTCTGCATTTTTTAGTGCATTCACGTAAATGATCTTGAGCGGATCGTAAAAATTAATGCTAACAGTATACATATAAAATGTAAAAAAATGTTAAGCAATATCAAATGAGCAGCACTGTTTCGGTCCAATAATTCGTGTACATTTCTGTTCAGCTTTGACGCAGGACTTTTGGCGCACTAAGTGGCGCTTCTTATCATCGAACAAGGAAGGCAATTCGCTACACCTTGTTTCCTTGACGTCAGATTCATCAAAGCCAAACAGTAAATTGTTTTATCAGTGCAATCAGTCTGTGCACAGAAAAATAAACACAAATAATTTCTTGACTTAGAAAAGTCATTACTTCAATATCAGCATCTGTTGCATGTTTTTGGACACTGCTCAGTCATCAGTCTGTAGTATAAAGTATCGTTGCACAGGTACCTTACCTGTTGACAATTTGATCTGCCATTAGGACCGGTTTTATCAACGCATCCTGAAAAATCAAATTTATGCATTCATTTGTCAGAAACTTAACTATATTACGACTTCGCAATGAAGACGGGAGTGATTTTTGTGCTAAAATTACTAGAATCACACGAAAACCGTACAAGATCAACTTTTGCACTTTATCTACTCTTCTAGAATCTCTGGTTCTAAAAAAATTTGCCTGGACAAAAATATTTTTATGCCAAGATCACATGTGGAGTTCAGTGTGAATGAAAACCTCTCGTCAGAGTATGGAATCCTCATTCGAATTCTTGAATATCTACCAGAGCTTAGTTTAGAAATTCAGTGCTTCATAAACCGACAAGCGCATTTCAACTCGTTTAAAACACCTTTTTCAAGTAACGTTTCTTTCTAGTAACAATGGCGCCACGCACCGCTGTATAGTGTACCCTCGAATAAGCCGGCAAAGGTGAATCGTATACGATATTATGGTACTTAGGGACTGGAAACAAGCGGAATCCGTGCAGTTAGATAATTTGGGTGAAATCTGAAATTTACAGATAATAACCACGCCTCAATTTTTCTCGGTTTAGCGCATGAATAAAATCCTTCGAAAATTTACCTTGGCTAATTTTTCGCTGTGCTTCATCGCAGAAATTACATGTTTTCGGACACTGCTCCACCATTAGATCATGATATAATCGGTCATTGCAAAGATATTTCACTTGAGCACAGTTCGAAGTACCATCCGGGCCCTTTTTATCAACACATGTTTGTTCTGAAATGCTATTTCCAAAAAATGAGAATGCCAAAAATTCCAGAACTGATTGGACAGTTGGTGTAGTATTTCATGCTAATGATGTTGCCGGATGCTCCCTTACGTCGTACGCAACTGTGGCAAGCTATTCAATCCCGAACTGCAAATTTCAGGATCGAGGCGCTAGCAGAACTGCCCCAGCGTGTCGAAGCATCTCAGAAAATAAAAAAAAAAAAAGTGCACCTTTAAGTAAATACAAAACAAGACGCATAGCAATTTCAGTTTCTAGGATCGGCATTTTTTGTTCAAGTTATAGTGGTTAAGAAAACCACACAAGCAAACCACCCACTAGATCTACGTGTCTGCAGTGGTATAACTCAAAAGATGGTCGTTTATGCCACGTCCAGAAAAAATACGTGAAAAAAGGAAAAAAGGGCAATAGAGACCAACTGGCGTGTGTCAGCTTTTACGCTTTTAATTTTAAGTATTTTCGTATTTTATAGCACATTATTTTAAATTAAATAACTGTAGCTACCATCACTGTCACTATCATTGTCATTATCATTATTCTTATTATTATCATCATTATTATCATCATTGTTATTGTTATTATTCTTATTATTATTTACCTTATTGTCACTATTACAGCGCCCTTCCTACTTTCCTTATTTTAATGTTAAAATTATGGAATTCATGCGAAAAAAAAATAAATGTTGTTTTCTGCTGGAGGCTAAATTGATCAACCAGTGGAGGATAAAAAACCACTTAGCATACACTCACAATGCCGCAAACCTAAATGTTTCTATATCTGAAAAAATCCTCAATCAAATTGCATTTTTAACAATTTTAACTAAATTTCTCACAGTTTTTATGCGATATTAGATAGCATACTGGGACGAGGAGTCGTCGTGTTCGTAAGGTCGGATCTTTTCTGCTTCTCCGTTACACACACATCTTCGCCCTTTGTGTTCTTCACGCATGTTCCTTTCGGGCACTTACCCATCACACATTCTGAAATTCAATTTAAAACTGCGCTTAAAAACTGTTTAGCAAGTTATTATTGCCTAAAATTGAATGATTATTTCGAAAAACAAGAAATTATGCCAAAGCCCTTTCAGTATGCTATAAGAGGAAACGCTGAATGATAGCAAATGCCGACAGTAACAGCCCGCTGCTAGCGGCTCTTTCTTTCGAAAATCATTATTGATGGCAAGTTTAATACTCTGAAATAAGCCCACACTAATCGAAGAGGATGAAAAAATCGTAGATAGACTGGCTTTTTCAGCCGCTGAGTCGAATTTTCATCTACTGCATAACAGCAGCACAACT